AAGATGATTTTTTTTTTTTTCCTTTCATTTCTTTCAGCTTTTTTATTTTTCTGTCTAGTTATTTTTTACTTTGATTCATTACTTTGCATTCGATTACTGAATTGAGTTATTTATTGCCTTGAATAAATGAATCCTTTTGGTTCACACATGGTTCGATGTTCATTACCAAATTAATTTTGAATTTTAGTATATTATATTTTGCATATGTTCCCCAACCCTGAGTACCCATTTTGATGCCAAGACCTTGAGGGACAATGACATATATATAACAATTCCAAGTTAATCGAGCACTGCTTCGAAGTTTAAACCCGTACCCATGGTTTTGTTTAAACAAGCAACTGCTCACAAAATAGATTAAAAGACCATATGCATAGATTACATAACTAACTAGGCAATTTAATTGTACCAGAGGACTTACTAGATATTAAATCATATATTGTTTAAAAAAAAAAGGGATCGACCGTTGGAGAGATTATTAATTGTATATTGGAAGGACGTGATCAGATTGTACGTTTCCTAAATTTTATACATGTATAACTGCATAAACTTCGTATAGGCTATATATAATAATCTTAGAGTAAGTTCAAATTGTTGGGATTGTGTCTTTAATTCTTTGTATAACTTCATAAAAATTAGATAAAGTTGGAGATTTATCATGATTAGGAGATTGTGTCTCATCATGATTAGGAGTTTGAATCCTATTCTAATTAGGAAGTTAGGCTAAAGATAGGGTTTTGATTTCTACATATATATATATTATTCTATTGTTGGAGAAAAAACCAAGCAGAAGAGAAAGGGCTAATATTTTTGTAATCTAGGGTTAGTAGAGGACGTAGCCTGATTCAATAATATTATGCGAGGGGACGAGGGTTTTGTAGTCTTTGTCTGAACAAAAGATTACATCATTAGGAGAGGGTTTCACAGTCTTAATTTGTCCGTTCAAAGGATTATAATGAGAGAGCTTTAGAGAGAATATGAGGGTTGGTTATGTAAGTGAGGTTGAGAGATTGAGAGTTTTATGGTTCCTCTTGTAGTTTTCCCTGATACATAGTGGATTTCTCGTATTGTTGCCCCATGGACGTAGGTCGAAGTTGGTCGACCGAACCAAGTAAATCTAGGTATTCTTTCTTCTTGATTGCGACTATTTTATATCTTATTGATTATGGATTGGCTTCCTAGTTGCGCAAATCGTAGTAGACGGGGAGACTAAAATTCCCCAACAAGTGGTATCAGAGCCATGATGATGGATCTGGGTGCGAGTTCGCAAGATAGAAGACGACGTCGTGCAAGATTAAAGATCGGCGTTAAAAGAATCAATATGAAGAGAAAAAAAGAAGGAACAGTCATTGCTGGCAAGAGGATTTAACGACGAGTAATCATCCGGAGGAGAGCGCCAGAGGGATGCAGTGTCTGACGGCGAAGTCTACAGACGACTGTAGCAGTGAATCATGGTGTCAAGGAGGTGCAACCAGTCACCGACAGAGGGCTTGCATGAAGACGAATTGGCAGTGAGAGGAGCAGGCGGTGACAAGTGGGCGGAGTTGCTTGAAAGCATTCACGAGAGGGCTTCAGTTGGCTCTGTTCGTGAAAATTTGAGGAGACAATCACGTGATTTGATGATGAGGTGATATTGTGTTTAGAATATTTTGGTGTTTGGTGTTTTTGACTATACGTGATAGAGAAAGAAATCATTCTTCACACGTAAGAGAAGGAACCGGATTTTTTGGTGCCCAAGATTTGGTGTGTGGCTTTGTACAATGCCGTTTGGTGTTTAGTTCAATCCAATGGTTGAGATTGATTGGAGTGTAGATGGGCGAATTGATGGGGGATTTTGGTAATATCTAGAAGTCTTTTTCTAAGTTTTGGAGTGCTCTAAACACGATGGAAGGGTCTGATTTTTTAGATTATGCTCAGATTAGTCAGAAGTGTAGAAAAGTTCTGACGGTGATGGCAAGACAGATCTGATGGCAGATAGGGCAAACAAATATGCGACGGATGAGATTAGTGTAGATAATTAGATGTGATCCTAGCAGTAGAGTTGTCAGCATATAATTATTTAGAGTCATCACGGGAACATGAGTTGTTTGTGTGTAGACTCGAGAAGGACAGAGCCGAATTAGGTGGAGCTTGTAAGCAGGTACGACTGAGTGGCATACATAGAGTTGGAGATGGTGAACCTGACTTGAAGATGATGAGCGCTTATATTCGGTCCAAGCCAAGTGATGGAAGAGATGGAGGTATCTAGGTTGCAGTGTGGAGTAGGAGAGGTGCACCGATATGATTCGAGACGAGCGATACAAGTGGAGTAAGAGGACAACAAGTAGGGGAAGACTACTGTCAAGTTCAGTTCAGGAGGAGAAGCATGATTAATTTTCTTCTAATATTAGAGGTGGCAAAGATCTTTTGGTGTACACAAGAGAGATGGAGGCACCACAACGAGACAGATGAAAGTGAGGGTCATATGGGCATCCAGTTGGAGTGCATGTGCTTTAATTTGAAGTGTGAAAGAAATAGAAGACTCTAGCGGAAGATGCAAAGTTTCAAAACGACGATGATATATCTTCAAAGGAGTTTAGGAATCAAATCCAAGGTGGATATTGTTGGGATTGTGTCTTTAATTCTTTGTATAACTTCATAAAAATTAGATATAGTTAGAAATTTATCATGATTAGAAGATTAGGTCTCATCATGATTAGGAGTTTTAAACACTTTATAATTAGGAAGATAGACTAGAGATAATGTTTTAGTTTCCCTATATATCTTCTTCTATTATTGGAGGAAAAACCAAGCAGAAGAGAAAGAGTCAATATTCTTGTAATCTAGAGTTAGCAAAGGGCGTAGCCTAATTCAAGAATATTATGAGAGAGACGAGGGTTTCGTAATCTTTGTCCGTGTAAAAGATTACATCATTGGGAGAGGGCCGGGTTTCACAGTTTTTATCCGTTCAAAAGATTGTAAGGATAGGGCTTCGGAGAGAATATGAGAGTTGATTATGTTTGTGAGGTTGAGAAACGAGAGTTGAGTGGTTCCTCTTGTGGTTCTCCCTGATACATAGTGGATTTCTCGTATTGTTGCCCCGTGGACGTAGGTCGAAGTTGGTCGACCGAACCACGTAAATCTCGGTGTCGTGGACGTAGGTCGAAGTTGGTCGACCGAACCACGTAAATCTCGGTGTTCTTTCTTCTTGATTGTGATTATTTTATATCTTTCGAAGTTGGTCGACCGAACCACGTAAATCTCGGTGTTCTTTCTTCTTGATTGTGATTATTTTATATCTTATTGACTGTGGGTTGGCTTCCAAGTTGCGCTATCGTAGTAGGCGAAGAGACCCCAACACTAATTACCTCCCGCTCTCTCAAAGTGGGGAAGAAGTGATACCACTGAGCTCTAAAGTAAATTAGCAGTACACGTCATGTACGGTGCTGAACGTTTTGAACTATACATTGTATCAATACCATGGGCGATTCTGATAGAATTCCTACTCTGTTAGTTAATGAACTATACACGTACTGTACCAACACCACGCGCGATTCTAATAGGATTCCAGCTTCGTCAATGATACACCTTGGACTTCTCAATATATCTTCAGCGAGGGGAAGATGACAATGAAGTTTCAATATCATCACCTCTTTCTTTCATCATTATTATATATCGTCATCATCCACAACGACAAGTTCATCCACCTTTCTCCTGTCAACTACATGAATCATATCCACAACAAATGAACTTCATTTGGCTACAAAGCTTCACTTCAACCACCAAATATGCATATGCATGAGTACTAAAGGACCTGAACCCTTGGGAGGAGGAGAGCTCAGGTCTTCAGATCTCTTGCCCTTGGGTTTTTTTCCTCAATTAGAAAGTTAAAACCCAGACGTAAATTCCAGGATATTCAAGCCTAACTTACCAAAAATATGCATCACTTTTTCACACACAGAAATCTCCTCTCCTTCAGTGTTAGTAAAAGCTTCGACACTTCGTACCCAAGACATGCCCAGCTAGCTGGCCTGCATGCTTTCACTGTTCCCATCTTTGTAAATCTTCCACGTTCCTCTCACGTGGTACTAGTTTTCCAATTTTCAAAATTTAATCGATTAGCTTATTTGCTCATATACCCTCAAATCTATCATATTTGCTCGTTTACCTTCAAATGTGCATATATGGTAATTTAACAAACTTTCTCTCTCGCTGGACTTACATACGTACCCATCTCTTTCAACACCAAAAGAATTGGCGGGAGTAAATTTGAAGATATGCAAATTTAGAAGGTACATATGTAATTATGGAGATTCCGAGGTACGTATGTAAACTATCTATTTTTTTTATTTTTTTAGGGAGAAAGGGTGTAATTTTGTCAATTTACTCCTTATTGGCTTAAAGTTTACAAATTAAATAGGATGAATATTTCAACTCAACGTCAAAACATGTAGCAGTAATTAGCAAATGTCGAGATAGATTTGGGGTTATATATATACTGGACAAATTTTCGAAACCAACCCATTTGACGTTTTTATTGCAAAAAACAACCCCTTTCACATTTAATTAGAGAAACCGACCTGGTTTCAGCACTGTCGCTGAAACCAGGTCGGTTTCGATAAAAAACTTTACGAAACTTCACGGGAGTTCAACTCCCGTGAAGTTTAGTACGTTTTTAAACTTCACGGGAGTTGAACTCCCGTGAAGTTTAATTCCCCCAATAACCTCGGAAATTAGCCTGCAACTTCACGGGAGTTCAACTCCCGTGAAGATGCAGTCCATATTTTCCAGCGGAGGATTTTACCCCGCAGCTTCACGGGAGTTGAACTCCCGTGAAGCTGCAGTCCATATTTTCCAGCGAGCGAGTCGCGGAAGATTTTACCCTGCATCTTCACGGGAGTTCAACTCCCGTGAAGTTGCAGGTTTTGCAAAAAACATGCACAGCATGCATACGTCTACCTATTTAACTCATATATACACCTATTTACCTGTTGACAATAATTACTGCAATATATATATTATTTAAACACGCACGAATCAAACAATACGCAAAAAGATCATATATCGAGCTATAATTGATCCATAAAAGTATAGTATTTAAAAATTCATACAATTTACAAATTTTAACAAAATAAGTTCAAATACAACCCAATATAGCTCCTCTCCTTCCTCTCCCTCTCTTCCCCCTCCCCCTCGCTCTTCCCCGCCCCCCGCGCTGATGAGCCTCGACTATCTGAGTATCCGGCTGTGTGTGAGGCTGCGAAGTGCCGGCTCCATCAGCATGTGAAGTGCCGGCTTCATCAGCATGTGAAGTTCCGGCTCCATCAGCATGCGAAGTGCCGGCTCCATCAGCATGCGAAGTGCCGCCGTCATCGTCACGTGGCCGTCGGCGCCGAGTGTACGCTTGCCCAAATGATCGAGACCTGTCCTCACGGCCTGCGAACTCGTCGACGTGAGTCTTATGAAACACCTGTGCTATGGTCTTCTTGATCCTGCCGAGGAGCCCTAACGCCACCTGATCCTGAATCTCAGGCACGGTCGCATCAATATCAGCCTCAATGCTATCAAAAGCACGGACCTGTGAGGTAAATAATTTATTAAGTACCAACTCAAGAAAAAAATATTATAATTTAGCTTAGAAACTTACGTAATCTCTCTCGTTCATCCCACTAGGGATGTAACTGTCTGTCGGTGGCCGTGGCATGTGTCCAGCTAAGGGCTGTGGGTCACGTGTGATCCATCTACGTGTGATACCCCAATACCAACCCATATACGCGGTATAGTCAACAGCCGTGGGCCTCGTATCCTGGATGAAATCCCACCTGTGAGCCCACCTGTCTATGTAGGCCGCACGGACTACGGCCCAGTCGTTATGGTGCGAAGTAGGTCGCCGCCGACGAGAGATCTGCTCAACAGGATCTGGTACATGCTGAGAGAGCGTAAACTGTCGTAGCACACGGTCAGGGACATGCATCTCCACGATCTCCCAACAAATCAATGGAACTCTCGCTCTCCACAAGTCGGGACTATCTCGGCAGATGGGTGCAAGAGAATGCATATCCAGCTCCGGCGGTGTATAGGGTCTCCACTTGAACTGAAATAAAATAAAAAATTTATCAGTATCAACAACAAAACTATAATATTCATAACGACTTGAGATTTATATTTACCTGTTCGTGTTGGAGACCATCAAGCTCATTTCGGTAAAACTCACGATGGCGCGTCGCTGATCGGTACTTAGCGTACCGCACGTTATACCTATATGCAGAATAGAGAATATATAAGTACAAATTCAGTGCGAATAAAATTTGTGTGTACAATTATACCTGTACGCCAAAGGAAACCGCCCTTGTAGGTCACGGTGCACGAGTAAAGTAGGGCGTCCAATATGAATGCGCTCCCATGACCAAATCTGTATCAATGTGCAGCATCCCTTGAATTCTTTATTCTGCATCAGGGATACTCTACTCAGTTCTCGATACAGGTATGCCAACACCGCACTGCCCCACGACAGTGCGCCGCATACGTCAAAATCCTCCAGCAGTGACAGCCATCGTGCATGTACGAGAGTCTTGCTCGCATCCGGAAAAAGCACGCACCCTATCATGTGCAATATGTAAGCCATTGAAATACTCATCTAGTTATATATAAACAACAAACGAATGCGCAACGTGAAGAAAGCAATAACTCGAAACCAAACATTAAATTTATATAACATAGTACGAAACGATACAAATTACAATCACAAATGACACACGGAAACAAACACAGAACGAAACCCCTAACATTTAACAATCACAAATGACATACGGAAGAAAACACAGATCGAAACCGCTACAAATTACAACATCAACGCCTAATCCTAACTGGACAATTATTTTTGTTATGGCCCGGTTGATCGCATCTACTATACTTATTTCTCCCCCTAACTCCTTCACGACCGTCATCCATACAATTTCTAATTCGTACGGAACGAGGGCGCCCCGCCGACCTTTTATACAAAGGAGGCAATATCAGTGGCCCCCGCAGCTTCACGGGAGTTGAACTCCCGTGAAGCTGCAGGGTAAATTCGCCAGCGAGTAGCTCGCTGGCTGAGTTTAAGGGGGAATTAAACTTCACGGGAGTTCAACTCCCGTGAAGTTTAAAAACGTACTAAACTTCACGGGAGTTGAACTCCCGTGAAGTTTCGTAAAGTTTTTTATCGGAACCGACCTGGTTTCAGCGACAGTGCTGAAACCAGGTCGGTTTCTCTAATTAAATGTGAAAGGGGTTGTTTTTTGCAATAAAAACGTCAAATGGGTTGGTTTCGAAAATTTGTCCTATATATACTAGTGTGCATCCGGTGCAAAGCACGTCCTCTATTTTTTTTATTTCTGCTACAGTAATTCTGTATTTAAATATAGTTATTTATATGTGCTACAATAACATTTTTAAATGCTATAGTATCCTAACTGAGCTACAATAATGATGCTACGGTAATGTTTTTAAACGTTACACTTCTAGCTTGTACTACAATAGTAATGCTACAGTAATTTATGTACGTAGCATGAATAGTTGATCTGAGATTCTCCTGTTTGTGCTACAGTAATAATGCTATAATAATTTACTGTAGCATGAATCTTAGATCCTCCCGTTGTTATAGAGGAATAGATATATATAAGTAAAATCCCCGAATAAATACTTTACATGTTTTAATTTTTCCTTTTTAAATGAATAATGCTTCAAAAGTGGGGGTACAAGTTCAGGCTGGGCTACAGAAAGCCCACACATGGGCCACCACTAAAACCGATAATAAGCTTGATTAACTAAACAAATTAAATAATTAGAATGGACGTCAAAATCAAAACCATCTTTAAACAGCATCAGATCAAAAGCATATAATAAAATATCAACGGTCTCTTGAAAGTGATTAAGCCAGGAAAGATGTGTTAGTCTATTCTCAGCTTTATATAAACTCGAGGTACGTACTTGTTTAGTTGATATTTCAAATCTAGGTGGGAAATTAAGCTTAAGCCCTTACCTCAAATTTGAAGAGAACAATAACCATGCAGAGGATCCTTAAAAGGTGATCATAAAGAATATTGAAAGGGAAAAAAAGTATATCTAAAATTGCCGTGCCTATAATATTTTTGTAGAGGCCTTTTGTAATTTTTTTTTTACTTTGAAGAACTCTCCTAAAATTTTTTTTACTTTGAATACAACCACAGCTCAGAAGATTAGCACTGACGGCATCAATATATATTCTATGGCAAGAGAGGAATGCAAGGCTTTTCACTCAAAAATTTAAAAATGCGGAGCATCTAGTCAAGGTCATCAAATTTGAAATCTCAACCATAATGCTTAATGATCCTTCATCTCACTATGGGGTCAGGTTGATTTGAAGAGTTGGTTACATGTTTTGTAACTTTTGTTTTGTGATCTCAGTAACTAATACACTGAGTATCTTGATGTAATCCTTGTTCTAGATAATACGGAGGCTTTATGATAGTTGTAATCTTCGAATTGTTTTTCTTATCTCTTTGTGAATGACTCGTAACATTCTATTTGATACAAAACGTTCTGCAAAAAATTGCACTTTTAAAATCCTCGCTTGCCCGGTTTATAGTGATCAAATTTTTACCATGTTGATTTAGGGTAAAAAACAATGTGATATGTTTTGATGAGAGCTGAAGGTGATAATGTCATACCCTAACATACTCCGGCCAATTGATTGAGGCCCCTTAAATGCGCCGAAAATCGACGCAAGTAATAATGGTTTTTCATGTAAAATTTGAATTTGGATTGTGCTGATGGCATTTTAAAGCTCGGGTCATTACTAAGAGGCTGTTTGGTTGGCATTTTTTGCCCTTGTTTTTCTGTCAAAACGGACAGTTTTTTTTAGTTTTGACAGAAAAACCCAAAAAAAAAAGCCAACCAAACAGCCCCTAAAACCCGTACTTATTGTTATGATTTCACACACTGCCACCATCGATACGAGTTTATATATAATATACCCGTTCCGATATTTATTTATTTATTTATTCATTTTAATTTTGAGACCTTCCCTAAAGTCTTAACAGTAGGGCCGGAGCCTCATTATTTCCACTTTGTTTTACTGGGGCTCCCAGTTTCCGTGACTATGACCACGACCGCACGTGGCACGCGGGCTGCTCAGGGCCTGACTCACAGTAAAAAGGAGGCGGTCGTGCACTCCCACCAACCTGACCCGGATCCATCATTGCCCATTTGACCGTAACCAGGGCCCCGCTAATTTGTTAGGAGTGCTGTTACGGGGACCCAAAATATAGGACCAAGGAAGGGGACATGTGAGGTGTCTCCTTCCTATTGCATAATAAGTTGGCATGAGTTGGCATGGCCAACTCATTATGCAATAAGGAGGGGACACCTCATCTGTCCCCTCCATTGGTCCCATATTTTGGGTCCTTAAATCATTTTCCATTTGTGTTAGTTTAGCGGGTGGGACCCGCTTGGTACGCGGAGAACCCAACCACAAACAACGAAGAAAATAACCAAGAAACACTTTGATTAAAACGGAAAATAGACGGATCAATGCGAATGCTCATGCGGTTCGGATGTAACCGGACTTACGATTCTGATTAGAACTCGGGTTCAAATAATCCAACCCAGCTGTATGACTCGTCAACCTGACTTCTGTCGCTAGTTAGCCTCCACCGAGGGGACGTGGAGACGCTCGCCGGGTGGGACCCGCTCGCGTCGGGGCCCTACCCGAATTCAATTGTAGCTCCGCACGCGGGTCAACGGTCACATCGAGACCAACATCGTGGGACCCGCTTTTGCTGTCACCGGCTG